CTTTCAATTTGAATCCAATCTCAAGTGGTGAATACTTTGAAAAATATTGTTTACAAGGTATGAATCTATAATTTTTATTAATCACCATTTCCTAAATAGTGATCTGAATCATATGAGATTAGTGACATTAATTGAAATTTTGCTACATTTAATTTCAGTATCGTTTTCTTGCCTAGAAGCCAGTTTTGAGCAAGTTCCGGATAGGAAAATGACGTCACTGCCATATAAGGTATATATTTTACTGCTTTAACACATTATTCTGTCCTTGAAATCAATAGCTCTTTATCGTTTAAGGGTTATTTGTATAATAGTCACAAAGTTATTATTAGTTGTTAATCCGTGCTTATGTGCAGATTGATCATTACAAAATTTCGTGCCTTCTTTCTGCACCCTCTCCTTACCGTAACTTCTTAGATTTCTGGTCATATAATTTACATGTTCTAAAGCCCTATTCCCTTTCTACAAATCACTTATGGCTGTCTCAAGTAACATAAAAAAGAACTGTCAGAATACATTACTCGTTTGACCAAAAAACCAGAAACAGCAGAAAAGCAGGAAAAAAAAGACGACCTGAAAATATGAAATTTCGAAAAAACGCTGGAGACATCCATAACAGACCCTTATATTTCATATAGCACCGTATTATAAAGTGGAAACTTTTATTTAAGTCGAAAACGCAAATGATTACACAAATTCCGATGTGAAGCAAAAATTATGATAAATCGATCTTAGAAGCCCCCTGCTTTCGCTTTTACCAGAGTTTGACCAAGTTTTGAAACAAATTATATACCTAAACTCAAACTACATTTTTATGGTGTAATTATTGTACTTTTTATATGCTTTTAAGCGTTAGAACAGATTTTAGGAAACATCATTTATATTTGAGCAGTACTCATAGCTCAAATCTTTTTAACTGCTCGATGATGTTAATTTGGTATATGATGATTTTCTTTTAGGAGTTCGGTTCTACCAGTATACACAAATGCCTCGCTACTTGTCTTGAAGATGGTACCCAATGTGCAACTGCTGTGTATAATTACGACAAGGTAAGTTTCTGGCCTTATTAATGTACTTTAGTGTCTATGCTATCAATATAAAATTGGATAGATAACCCTCTAAGGTAAGGCAATGCTCACGGAGAAGGCGAAACGAGGGCAATCACATTAGCTAATGTACTGTTGCCCGAGTTATTTGCTGAAATGGTAAATTAGTTC